GCGGCCCACAAGGGGGCGCTGGTGGCCCAACTTTGGGCCGCGGCCCTATGGTTAAGAATCACTGCGCTAAGCTATGTTATTCCACAACGCAAGAGGAACTAGCAAGGATTGACGGTGTCCGTGTGTCTGTTTGACGAGCTCGTTCGCCGTCTAAAACCCCTCATCCAAAGCTGGACGACACACAGTTCCCCGTGAGTGTTCCCCAAAGACGACTGGCCGTGGCGTTTTGGGTTCAGGTGCAAACCAACAAACTGTTGCACAGAGCTACAAACTAGCATCCTGCATGGTGTCTGGGATAGAGTCCGAGGTGTGCCAGGCTTTGTGGACGGCGCTACAGCCAGAGGTTCTGCCATTAGGTACCAAACAGGAAATATACATAGTGTAGAGAGGGTGTAGAATCGACCAATCAGAGGCCTCCTGTCTGCGGTCACCTACAATTTTGGAGAAGGGGGGGGCATATCTGCGTTCACTGTGACACGCGCAGACGACCTGTTTTCTGACCATAAACCAGGCTATAGTTTATCTCTCCTATTGTGTTTTCTAAAAGAGATAAATAACTTTATGATCAGATCTCCATTAAAAGCAGAAATGGCCAATAAATGACCATCAATATTTTTCTGTTTTTGAACTTTGACTTTTTGTGTTTCTTTAAACCCTGAATATTTTCTTATTTTGCGTTTCTTCCTTTAGGGAGGAGGCTACAGTCCATACGGACCAGAACCTCCCGCTATAAAAACAGCTTCTTCCCCTCTGCCATAAGACTCATGAACACCTAACTATATGTCAGACTCTATAACCTGCCCATGCCATTTACACTGCTCTATTTGCACTACCTTGTAAGATGCTATTTTACTTACATATTATATGTTTCATGTTGTACGATTGTACCATAAAAAATTCCTAGTTTGTGAACTCCTTCACTAACAATGGCAATAAACCTGATTCTGATTCTGAAACCCTTTAGGTTTTCCTCTGCCTCAGAGTGTCAGGATATAGATTCCTCCTGATAGAAGCTCACAGGATGGGTTCCTATCCTCCTGCCAGTCCTCCGCTCTTATCATCTCCTCTTCTGTCAGCTTTTAAACCTTGATGCCTCCCATCTCGGCCCTTTTCTCTGTCAGCTTTACTTCCTTTCTCTGTCAGCTCATCTGCGACTGTCCGGCTGCCAGCAGTCTGTCATTTCTTTCCACCCTGTTGTCTCTCAACTTCCGTATTTCCTTCTGACTGTTTAATTTGACGTCTTTCCAGACCTTTAGTTTTTTATGTAATATTGTTTTTTTCCTTCTAATTCTAACCATTTTCTCTTTATTTAATTATTCCTTTCAGGTTTGCCTTCCTACCCAGGCTTGTATTTGGTGATGCTCTTTATATTTCAATCATTGCAGAGGTGTGTGTGAAGTTTTGACTTGAAGGTTCTCAGAATTTCCAGCTTGTTTTCATCTTTACAGTAGAAGTTGGCAGAAACGTATTTAAAGGACCTTTATCTAGAGTGAAAAATGTGTAATTTCTTCTTTTTTTCTGTCTATTTGCAGGTCTTCTTTGACATGCCCTCACTGCCTTAAGCAAAGCAACACCTTTGATCCATTTTTATGCATCTCTCTGCCTATTCCCCTGCGACAGACCAGGTGACGTATAACATGAAACACAAGAAGCATCATTAGAGACATGGTGGGACTTATGAAGGCTGTCAAATACAAAACCCATCCACTTATATATATCTCTATTAGTGTGCTGATCCTGATTTTATTCTTTTTTAGCTTTAACACACACACACATATATATATGTATGTATATATAGTGTCTAGAATTGGCAGAACTATTACTAAGCAAAAATGATCTAGAAATAAGTCAAAATATCTTCAATTAAGTGTGTTTACCCTCAATTTGAGTTGGTAAATAAGATGATTTGGCAATGGAATAAGGATTTTTACTTTTAAAATACGGTAATTAGACAATATAAACTTGAAATAATGACAATGAAATAGTTTTTTTCTTTTTTTAATTGTAATTTTTCCTGTTCCATTAGCAAAGTATCTCCTGTACCTCCTCAATTCAAGACAAAATGCACTTATTTTGAGAAAAAATTACTTCTTTCGATTTTCCAATGTGTATTCTCTAGTGCAGCCTTCCAGATTTCGTCCTGTTTGGTTTTTTGTAAATGCTTAAATAGCAAAATATGTCTTCTATTGAGACATCTCCCTTTTAACCTTGTATTGATTGGGGGGGGGGGACACTTAAATGTTTAGAAAGTGGAGGGAAAGGGCTCAGAGCTTCAGTCCTTGATGCAACGTTCCTGTTTTCATATCCTTCGCTGTCTTTTCCCTCCCTTCGTTTCCAATCAATCTGCTCAGGAAATATAAACCACAGTTCAAAGAAGGTCAAAATATTTTTATTACTCAATAAATGAGCTTTAATCAGAGTTCGCCCTTTAAATTGCTCCAAATTGCACAGCAATCTTGACCGAGGCCACACAGTTTGGCCGTATGATTTCAGGAACAGAGGTTCGACATTTAAAGTCCTGTTAGCAAGGAATGATGCATGGATCATTATTTATACCTAAATCTAACATGTTTGCAGTGATTTAAT